GGACTTCAACTCCCAGAATTCCCCAGCCTGGCTGGGGAATTCTGGGAGTTGAAGTCCACCCATCTTAAAGGGGAGGAGGTTGAGCAACACTGATCTGAACACATGCCCGATTGCCCACTGCCTGGGAGGGAAATGCCTTCCCTGTAATTTCTGATGGGGGGTTTGTTTCTCAGGAAAGCCCCCAGACCTCGCAGGGCCATTTGCCCCAACCACTGCACTCATCCTGGGGATGACCTCTTTGTGATTCCCCACTGTAGGAGGTCGGGGGGCTGAGGCCAGAGGGCCCCCCTTCTCCATTACAGACCCCGAATTTGGGCTTGACCCAGAGTTGCTGCCCGTCCAGGAGCAGTTGAAAACCGGGCTGTCCCGGAGGGCGTTTGGGGGTCAATCCGACGCCGCTGCTGCGCGGGGTGCCATAAGATCTCCCACGGGTGGGCTCAACGGCTCATTGGGTTCTGTTCCGTGGACGTTTTAGTTTAATGAATATGAATTCAGTCATTCAATCACGCTGCATAATTGCACCGTGTTACCTCGTAACTTGCCAATGGTCTCTGCGAGATACGCTGGAATTTAAGACTGATGAATAAATAAGTAGATTAGTAAATAAAGGAAAAGAGGTTTTTGGCAGCCGTTTTTAAGGCTTTAACGGTTTTGGCTGCCGGTTCTTGTTAAACACTCCAGAGAAGGTTCTATTCGCACCCTTAAATAATTCTGTTTCCCCCCCACATATCCCTTCAGCAGATGTCCTGAAGGGCAGATGCTGATTTTTGCCCCTCTTTTAACTCCCCCCCTTTTCTGTTCTCTTTGCTCCAGGCTCAAGATTTCTATGTGGAGATGAAATGGGAATTTACTAGTTGGGGTATGTTTGCATGCCGAAAGAAAGCGACTGCAGTTCCATTTGGGAGTGGGCTTTCATCTCTCTGCCCCCCAAGTGGAAAAACCTCCCCCCCTTTAAGGAAAATCCCCCCCCATGAAGGGCCATCTGCAGGAGGGGGGATTGGAAAAGTCAAGAAAATAGTCATGAGCGTGCAAAGCCTTGCCCGTATTTACGTTGTTGCACCTCCAGAACAGGTGGGGCTTCACTTCCACGGACATGACTGCCATCTTGACTTTTTTGACCCCCCCTTGAAGATGTCCCTACCCCCAGGGTAGGGGGAGGACTTAATTCCCGTGGCAGGGGAAGTTTGCCCCATGGCACTCTTCCTCCTCTGCTCTTTCGCAGTTCCCCTGGTCTCCAAGATCTGCCCCAGCGACACATACAAGGTGTGGAAGTGTGGCCAGAACCTGCGGGTGGACACGACGTTGCTGGGGTTTGACCACATGACGTGGCAGCGTGGGAACCACAGCTTCATCTTCCGGGGACAAGGTAGGCGAAAATGATTGGAAGACCTACCTTGAACCTCGCGCTAGGTAGCCCCCCTCAGCTGCTCCTTAAAGCACACGTGTTTTATTTTTCACGGGAGCCTGAGAAACATTTTCCTTCTTTTCTGAAAAAAAAAGGTGCTGTCTCATTAAAGAGTCTCATTAAAGCAGCCTGCTTTCAGGGTTCAGTTCACTGAAAGCAGCAGCATCGTTTTTCACTCTCCTGCAGAACCCTGGGTAAAGCAGGCTGCTTTAAGGAGGCGCCCGGCTGCGCTACGCTTGCACCCGATTGCTCTACGTCCGAATCCGTTTTGATGGGTCCACAACCCCCGTGAAAGCAATGCTTAACGTATGCGCTTGTTTTTCTGGGCTTCTGCCGACCCAGCATTTTTTGACCTTGGCAGCTTGAAGATGTGTGTTCTGCAACTCCCAGAATTCCCCAGCCAGCTCGTGCATGGGTGTGATGCCACGACGTGCTTAC